ATCTTTCTTTTGATTTTACATATTCTATTATAATCCCAAACAATAATGTAACCATATATATATATATATGTGTGTGTGTGTGTGTGTGTGTGTGTATAGTATATGAAGATTCATTTATGGGTACATATTATATAAATATACAAATCCAGGTTTTATGTTCTTAAATGAAAACTGCCTTTCTCCCCCTCCCCCAATTACTGTGGTGACCATGAAAACTGCATATAAAAGTATTATTTTCCTGTAGAATAAAATATTTCATCCTGGAGCTCCAGCAGTTTGAAATAAACTATTGTAAAAATTTCATTTTAGATTTTATTATCAGTTCACAGAGATCTCATTAATTCCATTTTCAGTTAACTCCTTGGGAAGCACATTATTAAAAATTTAAAAATTATACATCTTTTTCCAATATCAATCTTTTAATATATTTTCATTAGTTTATAAGTTCCAGGAGGCAGGACTTATACATATTGAGAAAAAAAAAATCTTTCTTGAAGTATATTCATACAGAGACCTAAAATTGGACTAACTCGTCTCTAAGAAATGTTAAGTATATTTTAAATTGTTAAGAAATATTATTCAACTGAGTCTAAACTTTGATTCCAACAGATCTTAAGCAGAGATCTAAAACAATAAAATGATAAATTATGTTTAGAAATATTCATAAAGTTAGGCCATCTCAAATGAATTTACTCAATATATATTACTTTGTATATATATAAATTCATATACCACATGTATTAAAAATACAAATGTATATATCTACGTATGTATAACAATATATCCATATATCATCCGTAGATAGATTCATATATTGGACACACACACACACACACACAGACATACTCACACACTCCACCTTGTAGTATCTATTAGCTGGACTTCGTAGCATACAGCCTAAAAAAGAACTAACATCACTTCTCAAGACAGGCTGATTGATTAATACTTATATCTTTCTTCATCATGCAAGCAAGACAGTCAGACCTCTGTACTCACAGTTATTAAGATCTGCCACTCAAATTTACATATAAAAATATTGACTCTAAATTCTCTCTCTCTTTTTTTTTTTTTTTTTTTACTCTTAGAACATTCCCAACTCTTTATAGAGAGTCTCTTACTGGTGACTCCCATTTTTACCATTTGCTCCATTAATTCAACAAAAATACACTGAGCACACATATGCCAGTCCCTGTCTGTTCCTGGAATTACAAAGGTTCTTATCTAAACAGTTCTCCCAGTGTGGAGACATACAGCAAGGAGGTGAACAAATAAAGAAAGAAGGTAAAGAAAGAAGGTAATTTTGGAGATTATAATTTTAGAAAAAAGGGAGAAATGCAATACAGGATGCCTTGCTTTAGAGAGGGGGGATCAGGAAGAACCCCTCCAAAGATGGCTTCCTGAGTACATTACAGTGATACTCGGGAGACAGCTGTTCAACTAGGAATTATGTCACATTGTCAGTGGGCAAACACATGAATCTATAAATGAAGTAGATGTGATACTTTCATAGAAATCACGTTATCTCTAGACTTCTATTATGGGAGATGTTTAGGCAGGCTCTGTATGGCCTATGGAGTTATATGACCTGTTTAATGATGTTTGAAAACATGACCCCTAAATATAAGTACCATGACTGAACTTTATTCCACGACATCAGATTCTCTGAACCTTTCCAGTGACAATTAGCTAATGTTCTACAATAACCTGTGGCAAGGGGAAAGGGCCTGACACCTGCTGCTAACCCAGAGACAATCTAAGTACACAGAATCCCAGTCATGGAAGTTAGTGTTTTAAGGGACCTGACACATCATCTGTCATTTTGTAGAGGCAGGAACAGAAGACCAGAGAGATTCAACCATTTATGGGAAGCTGGTCTGATAATTAGTCACGTATCCTGGGTTTGCAGCTCTCTATTCAGGCTTCTTTCTGTGGTCCAGCAGACTGGGGAAGAGCAGGGACTCTGAAATCATGCCATCTGGGTTCAAAGACTTGCTCTGCCACTTACCAGCTACTGGTTGATCTTGGGCAAGTCATTTAACTTCCCTGTGCTTCTCTAAAATAGGTGCATTGTTTATCCCTAATCGGAAGTTTGATGTGATGGTTAAGAGAGTTATTGGTAAGTGTAAAACACTTGGAAAAGTGCCTGCCACACAATAAGTGATTTGTTCGTCTTCTTTTCTTCCTCCCCCTCTAATTATTCTTCTTCTCCTTCTTCTTCATGATACAATCATTATTTTCACCAGCTTTTTGTCAAGGCTGCTAAATTTAATCTTATTTAATGATATGTACACAGTTTGCAGGCATTTTTGGATTCCTTGGCACAATGTGTTACCTCCTGAAGAAACCTGCTTTCGACACTCAGAGGAAGAGTCTGCAGCCAGCAATGCTCCTTACTCATTTGTATATTTAGGGAGTGTGATCCATGTTGAAGGCTGGGTGAGAGGTCTTTCTGGGCCACAGACTGGGAGAAGGGGTGAGGCGGGGTAAAGACATGGGTAGATATAAAGATTAATGAAATACAGTTCTTGTCCTTCAATAACCACCGTAAGGATGGACTTTATTTTCTCCTCTAGAAGCATGATTCCAATGGTGGAAAATTCAAGCCAACTAAGAAAAGTAAACAGCACTGGATGAGGATCAAAATTTTACAGCCAAAGGAGCCTTTGGTTCCCTCTTGAGGCTTCTTCCCAGGTCTACAGGTCAGGCTACCATGGTATTGATCCCAGTGGGCAGAAACAGCCCAGCAGATGGCTATCCTGGGGCAATAGCCCAGAAAATGGCCCCCAAAGGATCTCAGATGAGATCAGGAATCCTTGACCATAACATTCATCACTTACAGAATTACTTATCATACCGAGAGTTTTGTGAAAGCAGAGATTCTCTCCTTCTGAGTATAGGATCCACAAGGCCTTGTAGGGCATCAGGCACAGGAAAGGTGCTCAGTAAACATGTTGTGGAGTAAAAGGCACTAGGTCATTCTCCCTGGCATGCTTCTAAGGAGCTGCCACTGTGAAATGAATTTCTATTATGTTATTTTGAGATAAAGCAAATTTTAACAGAATGTCCAGCCCAGTACCTGTAGTATATTTAATGCACTGATCATTTAGGACCACTAGAATAATCCTTTAAGTTTCTCAGGTTTACATATCCTGGTTGTGAATCTAGGGGACTTTGAGTTGGTCAAACTGAGTTTAATGAGCTCAACTGGAAGTATAGGTGGGATTTGAATGAACTCACTGTAATCAGGAAGTAGAAATACGACCGCCCATCATATACTCTTTACTTCCTGATTCCAGTACTTCTATTGGGCAATCAGGCAATCTGGCAGAGAACAAAACAGAATGCAGCAAGGTAGGGAAGAATCCATGAAGAGAGATGCCTGGTAACCTGAGTACTTCTGCTGCAGTGCCCTAAACCAAATGGCAACTTCATAATCTAAAAGAGTCCATTTACTCCCCAACAACGAAATCTAACTCTTTTATATGAGAAACTGCATAATGCCTATTTGTGTAAACGAGCCGTCCCAACAGCAACAGACTAAACCCTCATGAAAAGAATCAAAGCAGCTTTGCAATGGGATCTGTTTAGGGTATTAACAAAAGCTGAAACTTTTAAATCCATCTTTCTATTTCACACATCCGTAGTTCAGAAGCAGTTGCAAAAGATGCTCCCAAGATGAAGCTTTGTACAGCAGGTTGTAGCCCAGACTGAACTTACATGGTTGAGTTAGAAAGCTTTGACAATTGCGGTTTGTAGCGGAGTTGCTGACAGACCCCTGACAGTATTAGCTCTGACAGCTGATAGCGTACTGGTTACTTCCTCTGCTATGACATGAGTGCACAACTGTGAGGATCTCCTGAGTGCTAGGCAAGTAGAAAGACTTTTCTGAATAAAGAATCTTACCCGGCAATATTTTCAAAGGCATACCAATAACCCACCTGATATACATACACACACACACATATATATGATTATATATATATATATATATATAATCATATATAATAATATAAATAGATATATAGATATATGTCAAATAATTTTAAAATCTTTTTAATGTGAACTATGTATTGGCTTTTTAAGCATAATGTTGTTAAGGTCAGAGAGGTGTCAAATTCACATCTTTCATTTTTAAATACTATTTTTCTGATGTAACCTGGGGGCTAGTCAATATATTGATCAGAAAGAAGAACATTTTATATAACCAAAAGACAGAATAACAGGATGAAGTACATGGTATTTAGACATGTTTCTGGCAGCACAAACCATTCTAGTTATAATTAAGCCATGCAGTATACTCCCCACTTTCAAAGAGCATGCGGGTATTTGATTTCTAGCCAAGAATAACATGACAATCATGCTATTGCTATTGTCTCCTCTATTTTTGTGAGAGCAAGGAAAGTTCATGCTCTTTCTCCTTTTCTGGCTTCTATTATCTTCTCTCAAAATATTGCTTTCAAGATTGCAACATCAACTGAGGAAAATAATTTAAGACAATTTTGCTCTAAGTAAGATAAAGAGAGTAGCTGATAGTAAAGGTAAAAGTCATCCGTATTCTAGTCAATATTTATATTTAGATTTCATGGGTTTAAGCAGATACATCCCAGTTAAGGACTATATAAGGAATGTGATCCAATTTCCTTTGAAACACACACACACACATGCAAATATATGCAAATATATTCAATGTGAAGATGATTTTCATATTCTCCTTCTCTTGTGACCTAAAGCTAGGGCTACCATATACTGTGTGCAATCGATAACACAGAGAGCACTCCCCAGACATGTGAAAAACCCCATGTGGTGGCTTTGGCTAAAGCATTTAACTTTCTTCAAAAAGCAAAAGTCAGTTACATTTGGTACATTATAGTGCTTAGGCTTCCGGAAAACACTTAATATCACCCTTAGCACACACACGTCCAGATACACACATGCGTGCACCCCACGGGAGACAGATCAAATAGCAATTCCCCCCTACACACATATATGGATGTATATTATCGGGTCCTGAAGGATATGATGAAGTAGTTACTATTACCATACCTACTGCACCTGGAATGCCTTGTGGACCACGTTCTCCAGCGGGACCTCTATCTCCTTTTTCACCAGGGGGTCCAGGAGGACCTTTAAAAAATAAATGACAATTACCCATCACAGTTTTAAAACATAGGTAAAATGAATACATCATGTTTCAAGACAGTTCTATAAGTAAAGCCAGTCTTCTATTTGTTGTGTAGTAACATAGAATGAGTAAGACTGACCTTCCTGAATGGAGCCATGCCCTACTATGGAGGAGCGCAGTGCCCTATACTGACAAGGGTGAGATAGCACTAGAATAGACAACCTAATCATGTATTACATATTTATGTGTGTCTAGCACTTTTTTAGGTTCTTAGAACCCAGGAGCAGAGAAAAGACTCGGAGTCAATGATGCCATAAACTCAACTTAGTATTGTGTACATACTAGGCAGATTTCACTGCATTGATTTAGATGCTGTGTGGAAAATGTGGAAGGACATAAAAATCATGTGTGATTCACACATAGTAGACAACCAAAAACCATATTGTTGAAAATGACAAACTCAGACGTTTGTTAGAGAGCTGCAGATCAGCGGGAGTAGCAGGTTGAAAAGCCTTTGAGAGAGTAGGATTTGAAAGGTAATTTGAACAATGGAGAGAATGAGATGAAAGAATCTGAGTAAGAGGGAAAGACTTGGGGAAAGGTAGGAAGGTGAAAATGAGTAAAATAATACTTTTCAAATAAAATACAGTTGACCCTTGAACAACATAGGTTTGGATGTTGGGTCCTCTCATATACAGATATTTTTCGACAAATACAATACAGTACTGCAAATGTATTTTCTCTTGCTTATGATTTTCTTAATAACATTTCTTTTTTCCTAGAATACAGTATATAAGACATATAACATACAAAATACATGTTAATTGACTGTTACTGTTAAGGCTTCCGGTCAACAGTAGGCTATTAGTAAAGTGTTGGGGGATTCAGAAGTTACATAAGGGGTCAAGGGCACAAGGGGTCAGCACCCCAAACCCTGCACTGTTCAACTAGAGTTGTATTAAGTAATTGTATTAAGTAGAATCCCTAAATAGATATAGATATGATAAAATCAGTTGGGAGAGGTTGTAGGGAAAAGTTTGACTACCTCGCCTCACAATTTCCCAAGTGTCCCCTGAGTACTGAATTTAATCAATACTGATTTAGTCATTTGAATTTGCTGTGCCCAGCAAAATGGTTATCTAGTGATCACCTCTTGAGAATGATGGCACTTTGGAACTTAAAGGTAACCCTGCTAGTATTCCATCTTCTACGCAGACTGCATAGGACAAGTATTAATCCCTCCACTTCAAGCAGAACACTTTGCAATTTCCTTTTCAACTCCAAAAGGAAGAAACAAACTTGGATATACCACAGAATAATAAATAGCGATGTTTTAAAAGAGGTATTTTCAATCGCTGAGGTTTTGCCAAATGCATAGTCTAAGGATGACACACAACTATATTTAGCATCACTGGTTGGAGAACACTTGCTTACACATTTTAATCAGGTAGGAGAATAAAATACCTGAAAAATTTGAAGAGAGGACCACATGAATGGATAAAGATGATCTCATGAAAAAGTATATTCTGTTCATGTTCTTTATTTCTTTTGAAATCCTGTCCCTGCTTCTCTCCATTTTTCTGATCTGTTCCATTTTTCAAGGTCCAACTTGGATTTTAGAACCTTCCTTCCCTGGTTACTCAACTTTCAAGATATCATTGTTCTTCTCAATGGCACTTTGCCCCTTTCTCTTCATATGCAACGTGGGGCAGTAATATTTTATTATACTTTCATTACAAAAGCAACTCTACTTATTACAGGAAATACAAAAGCCTAAAAAGCTATAATTCATAATTCAATCATCTTAAGAGACTAACCATTAACATTTATTTCTTTTCCGTGTATTTTTTGTTTTGTTGGACTACATTTTTTTTTTTTTACATAATCACACACAAATTCCCCTAAGCTATAGCTTCATGTCGGAGACATATATTTAAATGTTGCCCAAGAAATGTCACAGTTCTATACCAGTGAGGAGTTACACCTCCACAACCATGAACATGGCTGCAGTTGATTCATCTCTACGTAGTGACAAAGTTAAGGGCAAGCAGGACAGAAAGACTCAACTTGCAGCCCGAATTTTGCTGAGCAAATTGAAAGGAAGCAAATCCACAGTACTCAAGCGTGGTGTTTTGAAAAAAAAAAAAAAGTGGACAAGGAAAGATTTTGATTTAGTAATTAGAGCTCTAAAGCAAGACACAGACATTCCAGGAAAAAGTAGAATGTATGAGATAAGAAACAAGTCACTGACAGACTAGATCTCGACTCTTAGCCTCTGTGGTTAAGAGTTTTCACCATTTATTCAGCCAGTAAAAGATGGAACTCTTTTATAAACATTTCCCTTTCAATTATTTTGCAGATAACTCTGTAGAGTAACTGCATAAAGCTCTATTGTTGGAGAATTAATTCAATCATAACTAATACATGGGTTACTTTATATAATTCTGAGTCAAAGATCCCTCACTGTTTTTTATATAAAATACTGATACTAGGTTTCTGAATCCCAGAGTAAGAAAACCAGGCATGCCTTGAAGAATTCTAACTAGGGGTGTTGGCTGTTACACTTTTATCCTTATTTTATTGTTCCTGTAACATTAATCTCACTTATTATGTTTCATTTTTATACATTGTTATATCTCTTCTACTTCCTAGAAAATGTGGGAAGTATCTCAATAAATATTTGTAGTGTCTTTTACATATTTTGGGGGAGAGAAGAACACAGATCACACACCAGTTTTCTCTTAGCTTTGTGTGTAGAACTTTTGAGAACACAGTATAAATCACGCTATCATGCTACCTTCCAAAAGTGGTCTCCTCTCTATCCCTGCTGTAGCTCACATCCTAATCATCCTGCACTTGGACTAGTCTAGAGATTTTTATCTGGTCTGAATGTATTGTGTCTGTTTTACCCTCATCTTTCCTTCAGTCCCAGCTTTAAAAAAAAATAGTACCTCTACAACTATATATAGAAATATAGATATCTGTTCTGCCATGTTATGGAAGAAAGAATGAAGAACTTAAAGTCAGGAGACTTGGTGTCTTTGCAGTCACCTTCTTTGCTCTGAATTACTAGCAAGCCATAAGAATTCACACTATTTTTCTTCAAATTTAATACCTTCTAACTGAAAAGTTACAGGGATAATTCGTAAATGCTGCAGCAGTAATTTTCCATGGACAATTCCCTCTATAAAACACACATACAAAATCCACTACTTAGCTCCCTCCCTGTGATTTTTTTTAAAAGGAAAACTAAGATTTCTACATCACCACAAAAAAGAACTGATTTAGAATACTCAGTAACCATAAATATCGGAGATCAAAATTACACAGTTCACTAGAAAAGCAAATCCAGGCATATCCCATCATTTAAAATCCTCAGATGATACCAAAGAACTAATAGTGTCTGCCTAAATTTCCAGCGCTATGCTTCTCTGTGTCCTATTCATTATGATCACACATTTTCTACTTTATTCTTAATCTTTCCTTGTCATCATAAAAATCTACCAAATCTTCTAGGCTATTCCTGCTTAAACCTGCCTCTTTTTTTCTTTTAGTTTTCATGCTCATTGACTTAGATCTATCTTTAATCTGGAAGAGGCCTTAAAGATTTCTTAGTCAAACATACATATAGAGGGGTCAGAGAGAGTAAACTATCCAAGGTCTTAAAGCTAGTTGGGTAAAACCAGAACTAGACTACTGCTTTCCTGACATTCTAGGCTATCCTATTCTAAACTTAACTGACTTCATTTCTGGCATCTGTTTTTCTATTATTCCTGGGATGAATTTTTCCATTACATAGTGGTTAAAGACAACCATTTTTTATTTTTTAAATCATGATAATTGATTGCACAAATCTCCAAATTTATATTCTATCAATTGTTTATTCTTCTTCCTTGACATGAATATGTTTATGTTTGAATATAAATATGCTTTTAGATCCTGGAAAGAAAATTTGCTTAAAATTTCTTTTCAAATAAACATCACATTATCTTTTCTCACCACTGAGCCATATTGTATTTTATTTCTCTTAACTCCTCTCCTCGAATGTTTACCGACTTTGTTTCTTTAAATCATGCTATGTCTCACCCTCTGCCAAACTACTTCACTATTGCAGTGATGAAATTCCATTTAGTCCTTTAGACTCTAATGACTATAATTACTTGAAAATGTGTTAAAATTTTTTTGTCTCTTTTATCTGCATGATTACTTAGCAACTGTTAATATCAAAAAGGGGGACACAAAGATGGCTAATCCTACAACCAACAAATGACAGGGCACACATTAATTTGTACAATTTGTTTTTCTTGGGTTATAGTTTCATAAGTACTTGTTAAAAATTTCTTTTATGCCTAGATTTGGTAGAGAATATAAAAAACAGCCCCTAATTTTAAGGAATGTATTGTTTCCAAGAAGAGGCAACACTGCTCTAGAAGACAATGGAAGGTAATTTTCAAGATGATTATCATGTGAAGATTTCTCTGATGAAAGAATAACGTTTAATATTAAGCAAGATACAGATGTCAGGAAGAGTATTACTCTGATGGAACTACAGAAGGCTTCACATATTAGATGGACATTGAATGAGAGATACGATATTTTCAGATAGAAATAGAAGATACGATATTTCAAGTGAAGGCAAAGGCATGAGGCAGGATATAAAAACTACTGGGTGTTAGAATCACAGTTAAATCACTTGAAGTACTTGGTATCAAAAAGGGAAAAGGGAGGGAATCAGATATTCAAAAGTGGTTAGAAGACACATTATAGAAGACCCTGAGTGCCATGGAGAGAAATGTATAATGAGGAAGTGATAGGCTTATAATCTAGGGTTTCTCTTCAGAAAGGCTGCATTTTAACAAGAATGTAGATAGGATTACAGTCTGAAAAGAAAGAAATGAGGAAGGAAATATTTGGGAGACTATTTCAATAGTCTGGTAGAGTGGTGATAAGAAAAGTTTACACAAGAATATAAAGAATCAACAAGGGGATAGAGAATATAGAACCTAAGAACTAATAGCAGTCTTGGAAGAAAATAAAAACAATTAAAATTGCTATGTTGGAAATCTGGAAAAATGACACTGTCATTACAAAGTGTGACTCAATAAGAAGAAAGTGCTAATTTCACTTATTTATTCAATACATATATATTTGCTCACCCACTGTAGAGCAGGCCCTCTAACAGGTGCCGGGTAGGGGGAGATTGACAAGAGAGGTGAAACTCAACCTCACTGAACTCACATGCTATTAGAGAAGATGTATGCTAAACAAATAAGCCAATGTGTATATGGAAAATTTCATCAAGTGACAAGTACTGTGAGGAATTTAAAGCAAATGATGACAGAGGGATGGGGAGAGAAAAACTAACCTCCAAAAAGGTGTTTTTGAAGAAGGATTGGAGCTCTAAGAGAAGAACGTTTCGAGAGAGCGGGAGTGTAGTGCACATTACGGACAGCAAGAAGTGAAACTAACATTTCCTCCTTCGTTACTTATACTTTTAAGTGGCACTTTCACTTTTCCAGATTTCCAAGCTAGACAGAGGGAATGCCAGAGGGGAAATGGGAAAATGAGGGCAGATAAGTAGACGAGTTCCAGACCAAGTAGGAATTTAGATTTATTCCAAATCAATGGGAAGAATATCAAAGGGGCTTAAGCATGAGAGCTAAAAACATCTACTAACTTTTTTAAATACCACTCTTTTGCTCTCCAAAATATAGAATGAATTAGAAGTCGAATCAGGAGGAACTGAGAAGTTGATGTAGCGCATCAGACAAGTATAGTCGCTTGAATTACCGTAGTAGCAGAGGAGATAGCGAGAAGTGATTTTATTTGAAATATTTTGTGTAAGAAGAGTTAACAGGACTCATAAATGGATCAGATGTAGGAAGTGACAGAAAGACATCAAAGAGCTTCCGAGATCTTGGAGTGGGTAACTAGTTGTATGATACGGCTGATAAGGCCGGGGAAGCCATAGAGTGGGGGCATGGATGGGGTAGGATGCTCAAGAATCAAGGGTTTGGTTTTGGATTTATAAAATTTTGGATACTTATTTGAAATCCAAAGTGAAGCTGTCTAATTGTTAGAGGAAATGCTGATTAATTCAAATTTTTCTTTGTCATCTGTGTTAATAATTAAAGAGTACATGCAATGCATTCCACATAAGTAAGCTATAAAGCACAATAAAACAGAGAATAACCCTGCGATGTCACAAATCAAGAAATAGGTCTCTATTTAGGTGCTCCCTGATCTCATTTATCTTCTTCCTTTTCAGAGTTAAAACATTAGCCTGAATTTTGTGTTTCTCACCCGCTTTCCTGTACTTTACAAGCCACCATTCTTATTACATATGTAAGCATCTATAAATCCACATTATTTGCTTTTGCTAAATTGTGAGCATTAGAAACGAAATTGTACTATATATAGTTTTCTGTGATTTGCTTTACATTTTTTTTCTTGTAAACACTTGGATATTAGACAAAGTGTTTTTTTTTTCCTAAACTAGTGATATGTAATAAAAATCTCATGGATTTCTGTTTATTACTAATACAATAAAAATATTAAAATTATAAATCAGCGTTTAACAGACACGGAGGCTAGAATAAGAGGATCTAACATGAATTTAATTAGAATTACAGAAGAAAGGATAGAGAGGGTTGTGAAGAAGCAGTATTCAGAGACTGAAGCTGATAACTTTCCTGAATTTATGTTGGATTTAAATCCACAAATATGAGAAGTAAAAACAAATGCAAAATGAATAAATTATCAATATAAAAACACAACTAGTGAAATTGCTGGTAATGAAGACAAGAAGGATGACAGGCACATTGGCAGTCATTTTTAAAACAGCAAGGAAAGCCAAAAGCCAAGGAAATATCCTCAAAATATGGATCGAAATAACCAGAATAGGTGTCAACCCAAGAAATATGTATGCAGTAGAACAATTTTAAAGATCAAGGACAAAATTGAGAAAATGAAATCAAAAGGCCTCACCTTTTAGACTTTCACTAAATGAACCTCCAAAAGATATACTTTAGGAAGAAGGAAAATGATCGCAGAAGTGATGTCTGAGGCACATTTAGAAGAAGGGAAAATTGGCAAACTCAGGTACAAATTTTAATATTGTCCATATAATGTAAGAAAAATAATACTGACTAAATTCTTGGTTTTTCTTAAACTATATAAAATAGAAATAAAGTATACTCAAAAACAGAAAATCAGGGAAAGGGGCCATCAAAGTTTTTTAAGTTCCCTGTATATTTAGGATCAAGGTGAAGATATCGATCAACGTTAGACTTTGTTAAGATAAAGTTTAAGGACAACCACCAACCAAACAGAAATAGATTAGAAAGTCTCCAAAATTTTTTTGGTGCCTTTGGTGGAAAGAAAAATTCAATGAGAAAAATCTTAATCAATCCAAAAGTCGACAAGAAAGGAAAGCAAATGGAACATAGAACTGGACAAAAACAGCACAAAATAAGATGGTAGAAATAAGTACAGTGAAAAGAAATGGTTAGATTGCACATTTTTTAAAAAGTGTTCTTGGGGCGCCTGGCTGGCTCAGTCGGTAGAGCCTGCAACGCTTGATCTCAGGGTTGTGAGTTTGAGCCCCATGTTGGGTATAGAGATTACTTAGAAATAAAAGCTTTAAAAAAAGGGCTCTTTATGTAAGAGAAGCCTAAAACAGTAAAATATGAGAAAATATTTAAAATGTAAATAAAATCTAAAGTAAAAATGTGTATGATGTGTATATTAATTTAAAAAACAGTAAGATTCAATTTACTATGGCTTACCAATAGCAACCAAAGCAGAAATTGACAAACCTATTGTTATTTTACAGAGTTCAAAGATCTCTCTAATTAATCATACAGTCAGGTAAGAAGTAAAAAAGACTCTGGAAGTTTTGGAAAACAGAATTAACAAGCTTGATTTGTGGACAGGTAGAGAATTTGGTGCCTTATAGAAAACTTGTATTCATCTTCATTAATATAGGATATTTTGAACAATGACTCATTAGACCTTAAAGACATTTTTTTTATCACTTTCAATTAAAGAACACCAAGATAGTGTTATCTTACCGTGTCTTGATAAGATCTCAAAATGACTTTCTCCAGACATCTGTGGTAAACATATGCTCAAAAACTATTTTGTACCATAGGATTTCAAACACCAAATCTCTGCACATAACAGTGTATTTTAATGTATTATTTTCTGGAGGAATGAGAAAATATTTTACCTTGAATTAAAGTGATATTTTTCAATGTCTGAGAGTGTTCCCAGTCTTTCAGTCTGAGATCATTAGTGATGTTATTCAGTACTTTCACTTCTCCTTTTATTTCCTGTTCCAGATTCACTTGTTTTTCTTTCACAGACATAATTTCTGCTGATGCCTTGTACACAAACTCTTCGAATCTACTCATGTCCTGTGAAATAGAAGCATCTGCAATTTTTATTACACACATAATTATCAAATCTGTAAGTTTAAGAAGCCCTGAAAGCCAGGTATTTTTTTTTTTTTAAATATTCCAGAACATTATGGAATAAGAATACGGAAATTAGAGAACTGTCTTAAAAGAGTAATTTCTTGGTTTTGAAGCATTTCCTCTTTTAACTGAATGGCTGAATGGTTACACCCTCTGTCCCCTCAAAATTAGTTGAATATACCCAAGGTATGCTTCAATTCCTAAATATATAGATGTCAAAATGCTAAAAATGAAACAGAAAACTTGTATTTTTATCAGAAGTGAAATTTCTTTGTACTGTACTTAGAGTAGCTACATATTCCAATTCTGTGAATTTGATGGAATTTGTATATTAAAATGTTTTATAGCAATAATGTTTAATGTCATAATTCTCAGTGGTAATGGGAAATACTTCAGGATAGTTTTTTACATTCAGCAAAATCTCAACTAGAATTTTAACAATCTCTTACTTCCAATTTTTTTGTTTTGTTTTGTTTTGTTTTTGAGAGAGAGAGACAGAGCACAAGCGGGGGAAGGGGAGAGGCAGAGGGAGAAGCAGACATCAGGGAGCCCAAGGGGGGGGGCCAATCCCAGGACCCCAGGATCATAACCTGAGCCAAAGGCAGACACTTAACTGACTGAGCCACCCAGGTGCCCCAGTGTTTTGTTTTGTTTTTTTTAAAGCTATCACCTCACACATGTCAGAATGAGGTTAAGTATACAGTCATAATAAAGTTTTTGACAGTGTTTGTCTTTATTTTCCTTTCAAGACTTTGGCTTGGTTTTACTTTGGGTGTTGGGCTGTTTCTGATGTAGCAAACCTTCTCATCCATGCTGGTGACATTTTCTGTCCCTCTGTTCTTTTATCGCATCCTCTGCTTCATGGTATGCTCTATACTTTTCTTTTTTTTTTTTGAACAGATGTGTAAACTCTAGCACATTCTTATTGCTGTATTAATTTTGAAGATGAGCACATCCTACCCACAGCAGTGTTGTTTCAGGAAGCAGGGCAGGAATAGTGGTAAGTTAGAAAAGAGACTATGAATTGCACAAATACTATAAAGGTAAAAACATGTTTCAAAACTACGATAAGTCCGTATCCAAAGGAGTCGTCTATGTCAATGGCCTGCTGGACTGTGAATCCCACGGGCACGCCCTGCCTCCTGCCTGGTGGAGGAGGAATGCACTATGTGGAGCCGGGAGGGTTGCTACTGGGTGGGAGAATTCACAGACGTTCCAGGTGACTCATGTTGGGATCATTCCTTGTGCAAAGTCTGATGTAGATGAAGATGAAGTGGTTTCTTGGTCAATAACTGCAATTTCTTTTAAAAGTCAGTGAGTTTCTTGTATAGTTTTACTACAATTGGCCCGGCTTTAATTTCATCCATCTCCATGAAAGCAAAGCACTTGGTGCTGGTGAACCTTTTTTTAGGCTTGTAGTGTTTGAATTCAAAGAAGATACAGGCACCTTTGGTTAATTTTTCAACATGCTTCTGGAGCTCAATGTCCACATTAAAATGAACATACGTATCTTCTTTTCTTGAAGCCACAGGTGTATCTTGCACAGGAGTTAAATCTATGCCATTCAGATCCTTTAGGCTAACTGTGATATAGGGATTGATGCACTGCCCCGCATCTTTCAGACTGGTTTTCTCAATTCTGATGGTGAGTGACGTTATTCCTGGTTCTGACTGCAGCCTAGGTAGGAAAGTGCCAGGAACTCTAGCAAGAAAGGAATCAGGAGACCCTGCTCCAGCACCACCCTCTTCTTCATCTTCTTCAAATTCCCAATTCTCTTCTTCACCAGGTGCTAAAATTTTTCTTAAGGAGACAGGCTGCACGTCAAATGGGAATTCCTTATTATATGTAATATTCTTTAGGATTGGTTCTAGCTTCTTCAGGTCCTCAAGTTTAAGTTCTTGAGACTGGACTATAAAGCTGCACTTCATAATTCCAAACATGTTGCAATTTTGCCTATGGTTTTCTTTTGTTCTTCTGTGAATTCAGAATTATTGTATTGAGCTTGGGCCTCTTTTAATCCTAATATCTGATACTCGTCTATTGCCTCCACCAGCTGGCCCCAAGAATAGAAGTTGGCGCCTCTCCTAAAACTGGTGCCCCAGCGCTGCAGCAGACTCCATCCAGGTCACCTCCAACATGGCCGATGCCCACTCTGACCCCTCCCGCCCCTACCCCAGCAAGGCTGGCCTCTAGGATGCCATCCTCCCTGGGACTGGCCCCGACATAACCAGGGCCAGGAGGAACCCCTACGGCCACCACCGCCACCCACTGAGGAGCTGCCCAAGCCCATCTGCTCTATACTTTTCTAAGGACATCTCTGCTTAACTGCTGATGTATTTTCACTTCCCACTGGCATATAGAAATAAGCCAGTGGTATATTGCTCCCGAATCCAGGTACAAAGAGAAAATTACACTTGCCTTGACTAGACTGGACAAGTTGAAGTGAGGGGGTCAAGGCAGTCAGGGTGTAAAGCCTTTGAAAGGAAATGAACAGACACCTCGATTGGCCTCTTCAGTGGCACTACACTCAAGCAGAGAAGCTTATCAGTTTTTACAGCTCTAACTGTGCCTTCCCCCCATCCACATCCATATTCTTTTGTCTCTACTCTCTATCTCCTCCTTCCTTGACTATCTGGCATTTTCCATATCATATGCTACAAGTCATGATAATGAAAAGTACAGCACAAGGAATACCGTCAATAATATTGTGAGATGTATGGGGATGGATGGTGACTACACTTTTTGTGGTATTGAGTAATGTATAAAATTATCAAATCACTACATTGTACACCTGAAACTCATATGACATTTAAAATAAATACAATTTTGGGACGTCTGGGTGACTCAGTTGGTTAAGCATCTGCCTTCAGCTCAGGTCTTAATCCTAGGGTCCTGGGATCAAGTCCCGCATTGGGCTCCTTGCTCAGCGGGAAGTCTGCTTCTCCCTCTGTCTGCCACTCCCCCTGCTTGTGCTCTCTCTCTGACAAATAAATAAAATCTTTAAAAAAATAAATACCATTTGGAAAAACATGTTTAAAGCTTGGATATGAGCATGGATGTTTGTAAAGCACAGCAACATAAAAAATACGCTCACCTTCATTTGGGTTGCTCCAGATAGCCATGGAGCAGATGGCAGGGGGCTAGCAGTTGATTTTGCTACCAAAAAACCAGGACTTGTCCGTGTTTTTCATACACAAAGCTGAAGCTACCTTTTTATTCCCTTTTTTGAACGCTGCATATGGTGCTCATATTAGCCAGATTTCACTTGAAATAATTTTTACTGGGAAGAAGGAAAGTGCACTTTATTTTTTTTTTTTTTTAAACCTTATTCAGCATCCATACACACCTTCCATACTCCACCATCAGCGGCCCCGCTGGAAACTGGCATTTAATTTTGCAGTCTTACAGTCCCTTTTATGAACAATGGACATGATGAATTCCCACCTCTCTCTTTTCTTTTGTGCTAGTGTACTTTTTTCCCCTCAAACTGATGTTTGGTCTGTCCTTGATAGGCATCATGCTGGTATCACTTATAAGCCTTTCCTTCAAACAGCATTTACTGATTCGGGCATTCATTTAATTTACTTATTTATTCCTGTATTGAGCTAAAGATTCGAAGATGAATAAAATTGTTTAAGCAGGGGCGCCTGGGTGGCTCAGTCATTAAGCATCTGCCTTCGGCTCAGGTCATGATCCCAGGGTCCTGGGATCGAGCCCCGCATCGGGCTCCCTGCTCTGCGGGGAGCCTGCTTCTCCCTCTCCCACTCCCCCTGCTTGTGTTCCCTCTCTTGCTGTGTCTCTCTCTGTCAAATAAATAAATAAATAAAATCTTTAAAAAAGATTGTTTAAGCAATGGAGATGAGAGCCCGAATATTGTTTTCAATGAGCACATGTGTGCAGACACACACACACATCCGTATACATACACTGGTACTGACATAGTTTCTAAATCTCTACAAGTGATTGTTGCCTGGGGGAAAAAAAAAAAAGCTTTGGAAGTCCCTCCATTCCCTTGTAACTTCATTTCTAATGCTGGGACCCTCTCCAAAACAAGTGTGATCTATCCGAACTCAAAGAGTTTACTGATCACCAGAGTTTGATTATTTCCAGTAATTATCACTTCAAACATGTTCAAGACTTCTACTGTCTTCCAAATAGCTTCCAGTTTGGTTTCAGCTCTTGATGTTAGTTCATAGATATCCTATGGTCTCTACTGAATCTGGGACATTAGCAATACCAAATATATCCTGTCTGTGCATCTGGTCCATCTTAACTTTCTCCTTGCTCTCTTTCACTGCTCTTCTGTTTTTACATAAAGTAATATTTCTTCTTCCTTTCTCTTTCCCTCCAACTTAATCAGTTATTACTCTCATAACTGAAATTTTATTATCTCCCATATTCTTCTGCCCTGCAGACAGTTACTATCTTGTGACTCTCTCTACCCTTCCATAGCCTAAGTCCTTAATATTTCTTTTTTTAAGATTCTATTGTATTTATTTGTTTGTTTATTTATTTATTTATTTGACAGAGACAGAGAGAGAGAGCACAAGCAGGGGGAGTGGGAGAGGGAGAAGCAGGCTCCGCACTGAGCAGGGAGCCCAACACAGGGCTCAATCCCAGGACCCCAGGATCATGACCTGAGGTGAAGGCAGATGCCCAACCGACTGAGCCACCCAGGTGCCCCAGAGTCCTTGATATTTCAATAGTAAGGGATATACTTAGATACTTATTAACAGTGTGGGAAATGCTTACAGTCAGATTTTGGAAGATGTGACATGGATTATCAAGGCTGGTGTTGGGATGAGGTTTACCAACGAAGTCCCCATATTTATATAGCTATGCTGTTGTCTTCTGAAATCTTAAAACCAGGATCATGTGAAATTCAAAAGCTCTGAGTGATTGTACCTTACATATAAAGATGTAGACTATTTCTTCTTAACCATTTTTTTCTATTCCCTAGTCAATAATTTAGTCGGTCTTCATCTGATGTTTTAACTCTAGAGGTTTATTGTTACTCTGTAAGTGACATCCACTTTTAAAAATCACTACTGTTAATACTGTCTCTATACAGAAAACAACTTCAATAATCAAACATGGGTCTATTCAAATAAAATCTACTACCAAGATGCCAACGTTGCTTAGCTAATGGTGGAAATATTATAGGCTTCACATTAAATGATCTTAGGTCTTAGATATTTGATAATACAAAGATTATTTTTTCACAAGAGTAGTTAAATTTTAGTCATATGCTTATTTTTCATGGGATGGAACAATTATAATTATTTAACAACCAAAAAAATACAATTTTGAAATAAGGGGCTTGCTTTTTAATTTCTTTCTCATCAATACAAAGTAATCTGGCGGGTTGGCCACAGGATAGTCTACAGCAGAAGTGAGAGAATTATGATCCAGGAGCTGGTCTGTTTTTGTAAACAAAGATTAACTGGACCACAGCTTCCCTCCTGTGTCTACATAGTGTTTCTGGCTGCTTATGCACTAGAATAGCAGAGCTGAATAGTCACAAAGGAGACCTCGAAGTCCCCAAAGACTAAACTGTTCACATCTGGCCCTTTACAATGAAACTTTTGTTGACAAGTTGGTCTAAACATGGCTTGGTCTCTTATCTTATGTATTTGATCCTATGATAAAAATAAAATGTTGTAAGTATTATTCAAAATTTAACTCTTTAATTATAGTTATCTTTACATGTTAAAACTTATGTATACTTCTTGGGAATGCCAAAATAAACTATTTTAAAATGTAGATTTTGTATGTTACTCATGTAAATGAGGTTCCCATTTCTTTGATGATGAAGAAATTTGGGTCTGTTGTAAAATTTACAAATACAGAGTACCCACTAAGATAATCTAAAAATTGTAATTGGTTTAGACAGTTCAAAGAGGTAGTATAACAGGATTTACAGAATTAAAATACCTTAAGAGAGTCTATATCCAATGGAAAAAAGTCCCCCATTTTGTCGGGAACCTGGAGAAGACAGTAGGTAAATTCATGTACAACCTTCTGGTAAGATTGCCAGAGGAATCAGGGTAAATTGGATGATGTTGAAACGGGGTTTGCAAATTTTGTTTTCTTGAACTGTCTGAGGAGATAGGATCTAGATGGATTCAATCCCGGCATGTGACATTCTAATATAAAAGCTCTTACCTCTTGCTGTTTTAATGTATTGTCTTGGACTTTGCCATTCAGTGTTTCGATACTGAGCTGCAAATCAAGCAATGTGGTATTCAGACTTATTAACGACTTGGAGATTTCATCTATCACGTTTCCGTGTCCCTGAACTGAGGAAACCAAGGTACTCAACTGGAGAAGAACATCATTAAATCTTTGATCAGTCACCAGACTAAAATTTTGGAAATGCAATGAATCTATGAGATTGGCTTCTGTATCTGAAATATATTGGATTCTCTTCTCCATGTTGCTCATTTGTTCCGTAACAGCTTCTCGAAATCTCATCTCATCTTCACTGTCATTTCCTTTTCCTGTGAGACTTTGAGATATTTCATTTGCATTAATTGGAACAACTGTGCAATTCTTCATTTCCCTCTTCAGAAGCTGTGCTGTATAGTTAAGTAAAAATAAACAGAGTCATGGCCTGTATCCTTAAATGCATACACCACTCCATTCTGTATCATTCCATTCCATTCTAACATTTTGAATGCTATCTGAAACTGGGTATTTATTTTAAATATACAATGTGTGAACCACACTATGCATATTGTTGAAAGGAAGACAGCCAGCCTCCTTTTCCCACTTTACATCAGAAATGATTCCAGGATCAAGTCATTCTTTCTGAATTGCTGCTTATATGCATCTTCTGAGCCACTGCATTTAGCTTTGACAGTAAGATTATGAAGTGCATTGTATCCTACTCTTCAGGTCTGTTAGGATAAAATGAGGTAATGCTTAACACGGTATCTGAAGCAAGCATGTTGAATACATTAGCTGTTATGAAGATAAATGATGTGACAAAAACAATATGTAGTAAAAATAGAAGTATTAGTGTTATCCACCGTATGCATAAATTGTTGGCTCATCTTCCTCATCCAATCATGTAAGCTGGCAGAGAATTGTCATTTTCAGTTGATACAGGCCTATTTATTATTGGTGGGACAGGAAATTGAGCAAATAATTTTTTTCACTTTAAAAAATATTATTTTTATAAGATTCCTCTTTACCTATTATAAAATATATATTCATAACAGAAAACCTTTACAAGATAGGTGATAAGGAAAAATAACTTACTCTTAATCTCACCATCCTGAGTTAAAATGCTAACATTTTGGTGTATGTATATCAAATCTGTCTCTTTTTTTCACTAGCATATTATTATTACAAAAGTAATTTTAATACTTACATTGTATTATCTGTATGGATCTACCAGATTTATTTAACAAAACTCCTACACTTAATTTGTTCTGTTTTTACTAATATATCCAATCTTTGAGAAACAATCTTTTAGGTAATTATTTCCTAAAAAAAAAGTCTATTAAGTTGTATTTGGGGGATATACAGAGCTGCCGATATATATTTCCAAATGGGCACATGTTCTCTAAACAAGGTAATTATCCTTCTGAAAAGACCTAGAGCAATATGTTTGGAGTTTCAAATCATGAAAAGCATAAACATTAGCTCTGCAAATAAAAATAATATGTAATTATACACAATAAAAAATGTTAAGTACCATTTTATCACTAATCAGTGATAGTTAAGATTGTTTTTCCTATCTCCCTCTATTTCTATCCATATTATTTTATCCACATATATATCACTTTTATTCATTTATTTTGAATGCATAAGATTTTTTACATTTGACCATTACTGAGCAATAAAAAGAGTAACTCTATATGGTTTAAAAATATATCTACATAAATAGCTAGCTACACCTGATACATCAGCTTCTTAATAAAAATGATATGGCAATAGTATCAGCCTTATGGATTTTTGGGAATTAGGTGAGATAATACATAAAAGATAATTAGTTCCACCCTAAGCTCAAAGTTACCTGTTATGTAAATGAGAGGCTGGTATTTACTCAGGAACAAGCTGCCTGATTCTAGAATCTAGCTCCATTCCTCAATTACTAGCTGGGGTACTCTGGGAAAGTTCTCTTCTTTAAGTTCCTCAAAGATTGAAAAGTAGTAACTGCTTCCAACAGTGGTGTTGAGGATGCATGAGGTAAAGGTGTAAATCCCATAGCACACAGATGGCCCATAGGACAATTCTGTTCAAATTAAAGTACCTTATCCATGAAAGATATCTTAGAGAGTTTACGGTCTTCACCATCTTTACTTAAAAAGATGTTTGAGGATGGTTGCTATTGTAGGTATTATTATATCAGGAATAAGTATGAAACTATATATGCAATTAAATCCCAATTTTAAAAAGCCACATTGTATCATATTTTCCTAGATTCTTTAAAATTAGCTTATTTGAATTAATACAATATTCGACAACATTTTTATATGATCCAGAGTATTATTTTACACTTCTTAATTCATTAAGGAAGTGGACAAAAAGTATATTTCTTAGCTGGATCTCATCACACTTATTACATTAAGTGTGGGGAGCAAGTTCTGGACTGACAGCCTCATTCAGGCATTTAATTCTATGATTTATTTATTAAGGACCTACTATGTATAGAGCACTGCTTGAGGAACTCTGGGAATGTAAAACTGGGAAAGGATTTTGACTAAAATAGAGACCCAAATTAACAATTTTTACAAAACTATTTCAAAGATGTCCCTTACAAATGTTCCCTTCATGATGATTATTGCCTTTTATAAGTAGCAGTAAAGAATCCAGGTTCTGGAGTGGAACTGCCTGGGTTAGCAATTCTTGCTCTTTCCTTTTTAATCTGTGATCTTGGGCAAATTATTCTGTCAAGTGCTTCTATTTTGCTCACTGTATGACAGGATACTAACAGTCAGTGTTCAAATAATTAAATGAGCTAATATATATAAGGTGCTTGTACTACTTCCTGGCATATGATAAGCATTTGATAACTTTCAGCTTTTTTGTTATTAATATTTTGGATTCGAATTCTGTGACTTATGTGTCTGTATGCACAATGTTGAAAATATTGAAGGGGAATTACTAATGTTTAATATAAAAAAACTGGGGGGAGGTTGGGTATTGCAATGACACAGTAGTTTCTGCACTTTATTAAGCATAGTGATCTACTTGCTCAACCATGTCATTTTTCTTTCCCTAGAAATAATTTCTATTTCACATGGATAAAGCAAACCTTTTTCACAGTATGGAAAGGGCAGACTTAAACTGACAAAATATCATGTGACCAAAGGTTTCTATCTGACATGGACTTCAACATAAAGTTGACAATAAAGACTACATTTTTGCTTATAGATTTACAAACACAACATGGCTTGTTTTCCCAAATCCTATATGAAAACTAATTTAATCCTAACTTTTCAAAAAACTGTTTAATTCTGTATCATAAATCTAGGTAAAGAATGCCAGAGTCCAGATCTTCAAATGCTCATTTCTTTATCATTGGAAAGATGGCATTTTGTGACTTTCCTATTTCACATTTGAAAGGAGACAAACTTTTATGGCTTGTGTAAACCCCCAGGGAGAGAGTGATATTTGATTTCACAGTTCACATTTACTCCTTCATGTTGCTAATATCTTCTTCTGCCAAAATTTTGTATTATTTTGAGCTAAAGAATCTTCAGTATTTCAGCAACAATTATATATGCATTAATCCTAGATTGTACTTTATTGCCAGAGACATTATTATGTTGTTGTACTATGATAAGGATCCAGGAGTTTCATTAAGAGATGATAGCATATGGAGGGGCTTTCATCATTAAGAAGCATCTTTCATCATATAAGACATTTTAAATTTAAACAGAGTCTCTCTGCACATTTTATTTCATCCATCAATTCATGTTTGCCAAAACAGAGTAATTTCCATCTTTTAGGGATACATTTTGCCTTTATTTACAATTTCTTGATATCAAGTAGAGATATGTATTGCATTTGTCTTGTTTTGGTTTTGGAAAATATTCTATCTGTAACTTAATTAAAGTTGAAAATGGACTGTCAATTGTTTATTCAAGTGTGATAGAAACAGTGAGATCTATTCCAAGTTCTGGTGAATTTGAGTGCTAATGTGACCGTATAGGATTTTAACATTTTTAACTTCTCGTCAGTCTTACTAGGTGTCTGCTATAGCGTTAGGAAACAAATCTCCCTCCCTTCCTTTTCTTTCATTCTTTCATTTTTCTTTCTAATAAAACTACTTTGGATCAGTCATTTCAACCCAACAATGAATGTGGAAACTTGGTAGTATTTTCTAATAGCCCAAAGATTTTGAGCTTGGTTAGAACCCTGAATTCTTTCCAGACTTCCCTGGCCCATTCTGCACGTGCCTGTCAGATAGAAGTTGCATTCCCTGGCGTTGACTCTGTAGGCCATGATTTGTATGAGAGGGGTGGAATTTACCCAGACTCTAACTAGCTTATAGCTAATGATCCCAAGCAATGAAGCATCTTTCAATTATGCATTTCAAATGAACATAAGCATATACATAAACACCATACAGATAATCTTAATTCATCAGGAGGTCAGCTGTGTAATGATAGACATAGCAGGTCCTTTTCCATAGATGGCTCTGGTTGGTTTGCTTGGCTGATCAGTTTCATTTGTTGTGGTGGGTTTTAGTTTTTATTTTTTTTTAATGGCCAAAATAGGAATTAATTTTTACCTGTGGAAATATTTTTTGGGCTAAAATTATGGAAACTGTTTTGCATGTGTGTGTTTGTGTGTGTGTTTAATTGGCCAATCCCATTTTGTTCTAAAAATTCAATTACATCGGGAGAGAGTAGACCACAGAGGTTAGGAGTCAAGACTCATGGGTGGCATCTGCATCTACTACTGAATAGTCTTAGTTTTCTTTTGCGGATAATGGGAATAAGTATATGTCTGCTCAAGGGTAATTGTAAAGGTACATTAAGATAATCCGTGGCATATTTATAAGACCAGTGTCTGAACATAGTAAATGCCCAAAAGTGACAGCTACTGTCACAGTTGTTGTGGTTTTATTATTATTTCTTAGCAAATCTTGGCTCTTAGAATACTCCTTTAGGTTGCTTCTTCACAGAGGAGGTTTGGCCTTGTGTTTAGGAGCACTTTTCTTGTTAAGTTGATTAGTATGCACATAAAAATGTATCTGACTCCCCGTTTGTTAGAGCCTACATCCAGAAATTTTGCCAGTCAGAAAGAGGAGAGCCACGGGCATATAAATTCAAATGCCAATCAAATCCATCAAAAAGGCTACCGAGGGGAATAATATTTACAGATCTGACGGAGTTATATGCAAGCTATTCACCCCTGTGGAAACTCTCAAATCCATCCCCTCCTCAAGTTAGACTTGCCAAAGAAATATGTACTCTAAAGTGTTGTTTCTAATTTTTTTAGGTTGAGGGGATGCCATCAGGTTATTTTTAGAAATGTTTTCAATAATAGCCTTATGAAACATATGGCCATATAAACCGGAAAGAGATTCCTGAAGTACAGGCCATTATTGGGCAAGGTCTCCTCTCAGTGAGCACTGGCAGGAATATTTCTTTCTCCTCTCAGTGCTAGGAGCAGAAGAGCTTATTTTCAAACAACTGGCTTGTTTTCTTGTTGTTTTGCTTTGTTTTAGGCATTGTGAATGTAAGTGGTCCTGCTTATATCTTTACATTGGCAACCTGAGTACTTATCACAAAATTCTTGACCCACCACAAGAAGTACATAGGACTCCAGGGGAATAACATATTTTTTGGAATGGCCTAATCCATTCCATCTCACCTTCACATAGCTGTATTTTTATTTTCATCTTCTATTCTCTATTCTATTTTTATTTTTTTAAACTAATCACTTTGAAGAATCTTTTTTTTTAATTTATGAATTTGAGAAACACTTTGTAAATGCTTCTTCTTGTTTCTACAATAACTAATTCACAGGATGAGTTGCTGAGTTTCAAAACTCTAGAATACTGTACCTGCCATTATTCCGATGATGGGTATGAGAACTACAAACACCAGAAGATAAAGGACAATCAGTGCAGCTTTGAGGGACTTCAGTTTCTCTTGAAGGGTTGGGCCATTTTTAGGATCTAAAAAAACAAAAGCCCAACCTACTATTAGAAAACTTACCCTTCTTACTTAATTAACATTTTGATAATCTCCAATTCTATAATTACTATCAAGCCTATTGGAATAAAAGGGGAACAATAAATTTGTCCCCGTTTATTCAGTAGGAAGCCAAAAGAATAGTCACAGGAAAAGCCAATACGGGCATCACTACTGATTTACTTTCCATTAACTAAACATCCATGACAAAGTTACTGTCCTCTACAACTTGTACTTGTCTCATTTGGGGACATTAGTTAGTTGACAAATTTTAATATTTTGATACATTTTAATATTCATATCAACATATTCAAACATAAATTTTATTCTGTTTCATATGGGAATATATTCGGAGTAAAAATCAGATTCTTCAAGTAACTACATAATTGTGATTTTTTTGAGTTTAAATCTGATAAGAGACATCTGTTTTCAATAATAATGCAAATTTTCTTTTTCAATTTCATCTCAATAATTCTGTATTTGGATATCTATTATGATTTGAATACATTAAAAAAATGAAAGAAAACTGCACATTTTGACTAAACTTTGGAATGGATCAATGAAGCCCATCCTCTGGGTATTTCAGAAAATATTAATATTTTCATAGTATACATTTATTTGGAACAGTGATTCACATAATGGGATCCTAATTGTGGAAAAGTTAACTCAACGTGGACGGGAATCTTAGTAGAGGACGACATTTTCTCTGATTAGGTGAATAAAATACCCATTAACAATTTCTTTCCAATGGCCCTTACTTTCATTGCACAGTAAGAAAGAAGATTTTGTTTTCAGGTTGTAAGTTCCCAAATTAAAAATAAAAATTTAGATATTATTCGATAATGTTCTATGAGGGATTTGAAGGAAAAGGAGAGAAAATTTTTAAGTAAATATAAGACCCAAAAAAGCTAAAAAAGAGAAAGGTCTAAGGAAAAAGAAAAAGAACCACCCACAAAACAAGCAAGATGGGATATCCCTTTGCCAGGCTGAATGAGCCTGAAACTCATCAGTCATCTCCCTTATCTTTAATTTACAATCAAATCCTCTGCATTCTGCCTTTTAAGTAGCTCTCCAGGGCACCTGGGTGGCTCAGTTGGTTAAGCGACTGCCTTCGGCTCAGGTCATGATCCTGGAGTCCCTGGATTGAGTCCCGCATCGGGCTCCCTGCTTGGCGGGGAGTCTGCTTCTCCCTCTGACCCTCCCGACCCTCCCCCCTCTCATGTGCTCTCTCTCATTCTCTCTCTCTCA